ATGGTTAGGTTTAGGTATGTGCTGGTAATGGTTAGGTTTAGGTATGTACTGGTAATGGTTAGGTTTAGGTATGTACTGGTAATGGTTAGGTTTAGGGTTAGGTATGTACTGGTAATGGTTAGGTTTAGGGTTAGGTATGTACAGGTAATGGTTAGGTTTAGGGCACGGGTCAGGTTATAGAAATGAATGAAAAATGAATGGAAGTCAATGCAAAGTCGACATAAAGATAGCAAGATGAACTTGTGTGTGTGTGTGTATACCTGTTGGGAGAAGCGCTGTTGTGTCTGGATCTGGTAGTGCTCTTCTGTTGTCACACGGGCCATGCTGCGCGCTGGTGGCAGCGACTCCACTTCCTGAATGGCTTCCATGGAAATGCTTTGGGGAAACACCTGGAAGAGTGACGTCACGTACATGATGATGCTCTTCTTGTCAGGGTCAGGTACCGCCACATCTATGCAGAAGAAAGCGTGCGAAAAAAAAAAAAGTATTTTAAAACGGATAAATAGGGTGTGGAGTCTCACAGGGTGTCAGATCTTCTGTTTCTCAATTTCTGCATACTCAAACAGTGATGGGACAAAGGAAGCATACCTGCTTTTAGCTGTTAGGATTTAAGTGCCGAAACATAGGTGTGAATGTTTATCACTCTATTGTGATCCATTTTTCTTCTGTACGTTTTACAGCATCTTTCTCATTACACAATTTTTGTGCTATTTCAACAATTGATATATCAAAACTTTCAGCTCTTTCAGGAAAATCCTGCTATGACTTTTGGTATTGCTGCAACTTTAGCTTGTTGACATATTTAGCTTGTTCTGCCATTTTTTTTTTCTCATAGGAAATGAATGGAGCTCATTTTACATCCTTCAAATCTTTAGATCTGTTTACAATCTTTTACTGGTCCTTTCACATTTTGTTCTGGTTCAGCTTCTTTCAGCTTCCTTGCGCAAATGTTAACTTTGTCCAGATTTTTCAGCTAATTTCAGCTGGGTTTTTTCCAGGTGTTCTGTGTTTCTTTCAGGTTCTTTCTGCTAACTACAAAAAAAGTGCTTCTTCTAACTCCTTTATGCTAATTTCAGCTTGTAATGCTCCGCTCTGCTTATTTCTGCAAGTTTCAGCTTTTTCTACCATTTCATCTATTATTTAACGGTTTTTATTCAAATTGTAGATTTTTCTGCTAATCCTACATTTTTTGGCACTCATTTCAACTTTTTTCAGTCTAATTCAGCAAAAATGTGCTCTCTCACTTCATTCTGGTAATTTAAGCTTCTTTCAGCCCTTTTTATTTTTGCCTTTTTTCAGCTCTTTTTTGGTTTTCCAGATAATTCCACTGTTTTCTGCTCATTTCTGCTTTTTTCAACATAATTGAGCAAACATATTCCTTCTGCTTTTTCTGCTTATTTAGACTAGTTCTACCTTTTCAGTTAGTTTATTAGCATTTTTAGGTAATTTTAGCTGTTTTTAGATAGAGTCAAGTTATGTGTGGTAAATCTAGCTAATTTCAGTGATGTTAACTTATTTCTGTTCATTTTAGCTTGTTATGCCTTAATTATGCTATTTTCGGTTAGTTCTGCTATTTCAGCTACCATTTAGCTGTTTTATGCTAATTGTAGTTTTTTCAAGTAATTCCACATTTTTTGGCTCATTTCAACTCTTTCTGCTTCCCTTTAGTTTAAGTTTCTTTCTGCCTTTCAGCTACTTTTCAGACATTTTTTGCTAATTTCAGCCTTTTTTAGCTAACTGTCTAATTGTTGTGCTAATTTCTGCTTATTGAAACCTAATTTAGCAAATACCAGGACACAGTTAAAGCAGCCTAAAAGGACTGTTTTTCTAAGTTGAATTTATCTCACAGCCACAGCCCACGTGCTATTTTTAGTACCATTGACTCTTTTCTTAACTCTCCACAGACTGCTGGTTTTGAAGCATCCACTCGGTTGTGCAATAATTTTATGCAGTTTTTTATTGATAAGGTTACACTTCCATCTTGCGCCCAGACTCTGACCCCTCTGCGTGTGTCCCCTGCTCTGCTGCTTTCAATCAGTTTGAGCCGGTGACTGTCATTTTTAGAGGACATGGACGCTCAGATTAAGCCCTCTGGTTCTCCATGTGATGCTCTTCCACCACGCTTTCTTAAAGAGGTTTTCCCTTGTTTTGAACCCTTGGTTCTTGCCATTTTTAACAGTAGTTTGTTATCTGGAGTACATGCTGTGGTGTAACCCCTGATAAAGAAACATGGTCTCGATCCCACTGTGTTGGGGGATTTTAGGCCCATCTCCAAGCTTCCCCTACTGTCAAAAATATTGGAGAAAAGTGTTTATGCTCAATTAAAATCCTATCTATCTTGTCATTATAGCCACGTTTACCTATTACATGATACAACAGCATGCCATACTGCAATTACTACTCTGCTACCATCAAGTGGCTGAAAGTGGTACTGGTCTTTTGTTTTTTTTCAGTCAGAATGAATGAAAACGGTCATATCTCAGCCAAAAAATGGTTTATAAATATGGGAAAAAATCCATAAATATGTCACTTCGGCCTATAAGTCGCAGGGCATGCAAATTATGCAAAAAACGGTGACTTATGGCAGAAAAATACGGTATATAACTTTTGAACTGTTAGGGTAAACGCCTGTTAAAAGGAGTATTGTTGGTTCCGACTCGCTACAGTATTTATTTACAGTACAATGAAATGCCGACTATTACATCAATCAGAAATGATCTCCTCTTCCAGAGCGGGCGCTCATTTTGTTTAACTGAATTTTCCGACAAAATTTAACTAAAGAAAGATAATATCTAAACACTTTACCATACTTGAAGATTTGCTTGATTTTAAATCAGTTGCATGGGAAAGTGCTGCATTTGCAGTGGAAAAAAAAAAAAAAAAAATGCATGTATGGCAAGAAGTTGCATCATTTAAGCAGTACTTTAAGAAGTACTGTACCAAGCCAATTGTATGTTTATTCGATATCCCTGGTATGAGGTCTTGTTTTGTCACACTAACACTCAACTTAGACGCTTTTGTTTCAAATTTGATTTATTTAATATTTTCACATTGTAACATGCTCATCACTTTTGGTTTGCTTTTATTTTGAAACAAGTCTAGTTAAAAATTATTGAAGCAAATACTCCTTGGTTGTTCTTTTAATGTTCTTTATCTTTTAGTAAAGCGATACCTGTTCATGGCCTGTGGCTTATTCTTTACAGCTTAGATTGGATATAAAAATGTGGTAAGTAATTTTATTTATAATGAAATTATCTGTTGACAAACCCTGTCTTTCTATACCCGTTACCCGAGATCCTCTCCACTTAATGAGCAGAAGTTAATTAAGTTCAGCAGTTTTGGTTATTTTTCTATAATTCCATAAATGTGTGAGTTACCCTCCGGGTCCAGCAGCCTCTCTATGCCCAGGTGTTGTGCAGCCTTATTAAAGGCATGTTCCAGTCGGTCCACCGCTGACGTCTTCTTCTCCACTGAGCTCCAATCAAAAAGCTCTGGTCTGTCAAGATGATAGAGATATCATGAGAGCTGATACATTATAACCACTGGCTTTACAGTTCAGTTCGTCAAGTTGTAGCGTTGGAACCTATTCATATTAACTACATTACCTCATTTTCACGACCATAAAATATACTGAAAATAACTAAAGCCCCTGTCTTACTGGATTGTGTCGGTGATGGTATTAACAGCATTTGCAAGAAAGTCTCCAAAATGTCTCAAAAAATTTGCAATCGTTCCCAGTCCCCTCGCTTGGTTCAAGGGCTTCACTTCTGCATTGTAAGAATATTTAACATGTTCGAAAAAAAATTCTAAATAGTAGTATAGCACTATAGTAACAAAAAATTGCAACATTTTTTCTAAAGTAGCAGTAGTAGTGGTAATAGTGATGGTGGTAGTGGTGGTAGTAGTAGTAGTAATGGTAGTGGTGGTAGTAGTCGTAGTAATGGTAGTGGTGGTGGTGGTAGTAGTAGTAATAATAATGGTAATGGTGGTAGTAGTAGTAATGTAGTGGTGGTAGTAGTAATGTAGTGGTGGTAGTAGTCGTAGTAATGGTAGTAGTCATAGTAATGGTAGTGGTAGTAGTAGTAATAATAATGGTAATGGTGGTAGTAATAGTAGTAATGGTAGTGGCGGTGGTAATAATAGTAATAATAATGGTAGTGGTGGTAGTAGTAGTAGTAATATTGGTAGTAGTGGTAGTAGTCGTAGTAATAATATTGGTAGTCGTGGTAGTAGTCGTAGTAATGGTAGTGGTAGTAGTAGTAATGGTGGTGGTGGTGGTAGTAGTATTAATGGTGGTGGTAGTAGTAGTAATAGTAATGGTAGTGGTGGTAGTAGTAGTAATAGTAATGGTGGTAGTAATGTAGCAATAGTAGTAGTAATGTAGTAATAGTTGTAATAGTAGTGGTGATGGTAGTAGTAGTAGTAGTGGTAGAAGTAATAGTGGTAGTGGTAATAGTGGTGGTGGTAGTAGTAGTAATGGTAGTGGTGGTAGTAGTGGTTGCGGTAGTAGTAGTCACAGTGGTAGTAGCAATAGTATTAATAGTAGTAGTAGTAGTGGTGGTAGTGGTAATGGTAATAGCAATGTTGGTAGTAGTAGTAGCAGTGGTAGTAATAATAGTGGTAGTACTAGTACTAGCAGTAGTAGTACTACTAGTAGTACTACTTGTACTACTAGTAGTACTAGTACTACTACTAGCACTAATACTACTACTAGCACTAATACTACTACTAGTAGTAGTAGTTGTTGTTGTAGTTTCTTCCAATTTTTGGTCATAGAAGTTGTAATAGTCTACAATTCTTTGTAACAGTAGTAGCAGATTGTTCCACTTCTTATTAGTAGTATTAAAGTAGTAGTATTAGAATATAAGTAGTAGATATATATTCTTTGTAGCATCAGTAGTAGTAGAATATTCTATTGGTTCTTAGAAGTAGTAGTATTTATACCAAAATATTCTACAATTGTTTGTAGCAGTAATGGATGCAGAATCTTTCAATTCATAATAATAGTATTAGTAGAAGTCAGCTCTACTGCTCTAAAATGTTGCTAAATCTCTTCCAGGTCAGATTATTCAGCCCTGTATTCACCTCAAGCACAACGTCTACGGTCAGATGATTTGTTGAGACTTTCTAACAGCACTCTCAAATGATGCTCTTCTAAATAATGCTTCCCCATGTGTGTACCTAATGTTGAGCTCTGGGGATTGTCAGCAGCCACAAAAACTTCACATCAAGAGTAATAACTTTACATTCCTGTGAACAATGAGGCTCATGAGATATTGTAATTGTAATATAAACACTATATTAAAATCTTGATAAAGACTAAATATTTTGTCTTCGTGTGAAGGATTAATGTCCGTCTCCTTGTGCATTCTTTGTCTAAGTACTTCCCATGGGTTTGTAATTTTACATGTATTTGTTGATTTATTCCAACAAGTACAAACACATACACATGTCACTCTGCAGTACCTATGGCTGTGGATGAGGGCATTGAAGGCCAATCCATCATTCCAGCTACTGGAGAAGTTGACCACATTGACCTGAGGACAGAGGCATTAAATATTAAAGAAGCAGTGTGTGAAAGCACGACACCCACAGCTGTCCCTCAAGCACTGGTTTCTGTTTGATTAAGAGCATCACTGTGGTAACTTGAGCTTTGGAATACATAAATTGGTAGATGCTAGATACGGGTTTCACATCTGGAAGTAATGAGAAACCATACTCACCAACTTTTACAAGTATGGATTGTGACCAACTGTCAGCTACCACACCATAATGTAGATTAATATCTGTGCATCTGACTGAGTTGTAGTTGTTTTAGCATTTGATAAGGTTAATTAGCTGTGGTGGCTAGTTCATAGGCGTCACAACAATTATGTGAAGGGGACGTGTTCCCTTCACATAGGCCTGTCACGATAACAAATTTTACTGGGCGATTAATTGTCTCAGAAATTATTGCAATAAGCGATTATATTGTTTGAAATTTAACAATAATCAATTGTCAAATTTTAGAAGAAATGTTGATTTGTTTTGTGTGCAGTACCTTTTTTGACCACCTGACTGCAGTATAAGACTGTTTGAGCCAAAGGATGGATAGTTGAGCACCATGTCTCTTTAAGAAAAATGGGAGGGAGGGCCCTAGACGTGGCATGGGCTGACATGGTGATATGGCGTACGCTCGGTGATTTGAGCTCTTTGGCATAGCATTTTTCACACAAAGCTTTTAATAAAAATTAAAAAAAATCAGTAAACAAGTCCTCAGCTCCTTTTTGCAGAGAAAAACTACTTTTTACGTGAAGGCACACGTTTCAACTGTGAATTTTGGAGCTTCGACAAGACGGAGGTTTATTCCCGAGGTCGGCCTGTTAGCTTAGCTCGTAGCTTAGCTTCTCAGCTTAGCTTTTTTTTAAACAATCCAAAACGCGATTTTGGATGGTTAAAACAGATTTTAAAGAGAAAAGAGAAAGGGAGGGGTTAATGAAGAGTACCGGAGTTGAGCAGTGTCTTCAGGAGAAAGAGAGAGACACGAAGAAACAATAAAGCCGATAAATGAAAATGAGGTCGATAATTTTCATTCATCGTACAATTAATTGATTTATTGTTTATTGCGACCGGCCTACCCTCACATTTAAAAAATACTAATTTGGACCCCCACACACACACACACACACACACACATTTTCCATGAAATATTAATTCACCCAGCACTGTGTCCATTTCTTCATAATACAATAATAATATAACTTTATTTATAAAGCACATTAAAAACAACATCGTTGGCCACAGTGTTTGGCCAAAACACTAGCACATACAAGCAAGCATGAAAATCATAAAATCAACACATACTGTAAAAGTAATGAACTACCAAAAATCATAAAACAGCAAACAGTAAAAACAATAAAACAAATAAAAACAGTAAAACCAACATTTCAAGCTGAGTTAAAAGCCAAAGAGAAAAAAAATCTAATTCATGAACGAATCCATTCCACTTGATTAACAGGAAATACTCAAAACAACTAAAAGTCCAATCCGGGTTTTCCAGGTTACCTACAACTCACCACACCACATGCAGTGTTTCCCCGAGGTAACCTGCCTTGGCAGGGTGCTCATTGTTTGACTGGGCGGGGGGTGGGGCCCTCTGTGTTCTGTGCTAGCTTAGCGCTACGTTAGTGCCAGCAGTTGTCGACTGGGGTGGGGGTGGGGGGTGTTTCGGGGTAGGATGTGTGGAGAAGTGGAGCATGCTCTATTCACACAAGGAGAGCTCTTGTTTAGCCTACTTGTGTCATATTCTCTAAAATAGTTATTGAATCAAGTGTTTACTTATGTAGGTAAACGTAGATATTTAACAACCAGAATGCAGAAAATGGCGTCTACTTTGTTCAAAATTTTCTGGGGGAGGACCCCCAGAGGGGTCTAGGGTGTCTTTTACCTTATAACTAGCATTTAAGAGCATTTATCATTAGCAAAGTCATTCAGAATTTGTACTGCATTTTGGCAAAGATTGTATTTTCACTAGTTTGAAAACTATGTAGCGTTTGTCATACATTTTAAGCTATCTTTCTACTTATTATCACTTGTTACTTTTACTCAAAATACAAATTCAAACATATTCTAGTTTGTAGGGCAACAAAATGTGAAAGATTACCAAGAAAGGGGTGACATTTTTTGCACCCCACTGTATTTTTCCAGTAACTCCAGTGATCGCCAATGAGAAAACGAAGAGGAAACTGCGCGAGTACATACCTGAGGGTAGTGCTGTGTGTTCTGACGAACCCAGCTCAGCAGAATCTTCTCACTGTTGGTCTGCTGTAGGCCCGCCATCACATCCTTCATCACATCCTTTACCTGAACACATAAGTACAATGGTCAGCAGGTCCACATGGAACACTACATGCATACTTTCAATGTCAGGAAGGACTTTGAATTTGTTTTAGATGAAGCTCTGTTTGTAACCTAAAACTGAAGAATGTTTAAGTTGACTTGACTGGCGCCACATTGGTTGCAGTATCTCTGGTCATTATGATTCTTTTGTTGTATGTTTTACAAAAGTTTGACTAAGTTTGTACGTGTGTGTAAAGAATTGGTATTGATAGACATTTCCTATGGTAGCCCTAAGGTGTAAATGAACAACATCTGAAAAAACGGAATTTGAAAAAACACAACAAGAACAACAAAATTCTGTTGTTGTTGTTTTTTTATTAAATTATTTTTTCAAACGTGATTCTGTTTTTTCAAATGTAATTCCGTTTTTTTCTAATGTGATTTTGTTTATTCTAATGTAATTCCATTTTTTCAAATGTGATTCTGTTTTTTCAAATATAATTTTGTTTATTCTAATGTGATTCGGGCCATTTTCGCTTGGCCACTTCCGCTTTGGCTTAAAGTAATTTCGTTTTTTCTAATGTGATTCTGTTTTTTCAAATGTGATTCTGTTTTTTCAAATGTAATTCCATTTTTTTCTAATGTGATTCATGCCACTTCCGTTTCGGTTTAATGTAATTCCATTTTTTCTAATGTAATTCTGTTTTTTCTAATGTGATTCCGTTTTTTCTAATGTGATTCTGTTTTTTCAAATGTGATTCTGTTTTTTCAAATGTAATTCCATTTTTTTCTAATGTGATTCAGGCCACTTCCGTTTCGGTTTAATGTAATTCCATTTTTTCTAATGTAATTCCGTTTTTTCTAATGTGATTCCGTTTTTTTTCAAATGTGATTTTGTTTTTGTTGTGTTTTTTCAAATGTAATTCCTTTTTTCCAAACTTTGTTGTGATTTTATTGTTTTTGTAATTTTGTTTTTTCAAATGTCGGTTTACAACTTAGGGCCACCGTAATTTCTGTGCAGCTTTAACAATTTCTGCTTTTAGCCTCTTCCCTGCTTTATAGTACATCTGTTATAACGAGTAACTATTGGAAGTGCTACGGAAAAAAAAAAGTTCAAACCATTTTCGTGGAGCCAAAATGCCTCTGAACATGTTTAATTACACAAAATAATCTAAAAGAAGACTAAAGTTGTTATTATTCCAGTCAACTGCCAAAAATGTACCTATGCTGCTCTGTTTTTACAGTAGATATGTCTATCTTTTAATCCCTGTAGAACAATCAGTCATCTCAGATGCCAAATATTTAACAAAATCGGCCTAATTGTTTGGCCGGTCGATCAACTGGCCTTCCTCCAGTGAAGGATGTCGGGCCAGCATATAAAGGGAAAAGAAGGCAAAGGCTAAACAATCTTTCATTTAATCATCATTGAGGAAAATGAAAAAGCATGGGCAAATATGGTGGACGAGCTTGGAGCGCTTATAAAATCACAACAGGAATATCAAGAGAATATAATTAAATGTTCTGCAAGGAAATGGTTGCAGTAACATATTTCTGCCTTGATTGTGTTTTTGTCGTTTGGTCACTTACGACCCTATTGCCTTGTGAGTTTACCGTTATTTAAGAAGAGTGTCACGACTTTTGGAAACTGGATTTATTAATGGAACTACTTGACAGATGTATTTGTTAGAACTGCAACAACTATGGTGAGCTTGTGATGATCAGACGCATCATAAGGTACCGTAATTGCCGTTGTACAAGCCCCTACTTTTTTCTCACGCTTTGTACCCCGCGGTTTATATGCAGGAGCGTCGTATGTATTTTTTTCATAATTTTCAAAATTTATTTTTTTATATTTTATTGTGAAAGACTTCCTGCCGTCTCTTGGTAGCTTCCTGCCACTGGCTAACATTTTCCTTTGACAGAGGTGGGCGCTTGTGGCTCCTAGAACCCCACCCCTCATAGGGGCATGCATTTGTGACACAGAGAATGCCCTCAGGTAATCTGATGTACAAGGCATTTTGCTCATGCCAACATTTTTCAGTCAGGTCATCTGGACAGTTTCTTTTTTTGTGCTGGAAAAAAAATAAAAAAAGAAACTGTTCAAATGACCTGACTGAAAAATGTTGGATTGTATACCTGGATTATTGAGCATGGACTTTGTCATTTTGCTCATGGTCTCAAATACCCAACCTTAACTCCGCCCACTCTGTCATCATGTGACCAGAAGTCTAACCTGAATGACCAATGAGGTACTCTCAAGGACCATCCCCCAAGATAGACGTGAATTAATTTATTTAAATCGTTCCTGTGTTGCTTAACATATTTTGCGCTTCATGCGCAGACCTGTTCATTTGTTCGGCAATAATGGAAAACGTACGGAGAATTTCTTATGACGCAGCTTTCAACTTAAAAGCGATTGATCAGCTGTCGAGGGGGAAACGGAGCTGCAGTCCGTAAACTGCATCAACATGTCCATGGTCAGGATTAGAGACGCAAAAGCAGTCAAGTCTGGTACATGTTTTAATAAAAGTTTAATTATTTCTGTGTGACATCTTTCTGTTGGTAAATATGCATTTAAATACCGGGATCTCATTTTAAAGTCACATCCGAACACGAAGCGGAGCTCAACAGTGTTCAAGTCATCAGATATTTTTAAAGCAGTCATTCAAGACTGGTACATATTTAAATAAAAGTTAAAAAAATATATATTTCCATGTACGGTAAATATGTGTTTAAATACCAGTATCTCATTTAAGCTTAAACAGAATGAAGGAGACGGGAGGAAAAAAAAAAAAAAGAACGGGAAGGGAAGGGCTGTTCTTCCTCATATGAGCTTGTTGCTGAGAAGTCACGTCAAATTTATTTAGAAAGTACATTTAAAAACAGCAGTTGTTAACAAAAGTGTTTACCAAAAAAAATTAATGGTACTAATTTAATGAATATTTACCGCATTCAACCGGTACTATTTGACCTCTATAAGACTTGGTAATATTTACCGGTAAATAATTTTAAAATAATTTCAGTTACTTAAGTCTTTGGCACTGTTCTGTCCAGTGATTATGCTTAGTTATTGTGTTCATTTTTAAGGTATAATGGTTGTAACCATGAGTCAGACAGCGAAGCTTCATGACGATCATGCAGTCTGAGCGTGTGTTGAAAGCAAGCTATAATCTGTGAAACGCCATCTGCTGGCCGATTCTTGTACTACAACAAGAAAGCTGCACATTACGCCGGAGCAGTCTGGGGGCACAGATTCTGACGATGAACGGTGGATGCCCATGACTAAATAACCGGAGCGTCTAATTTATGTACAAAATTATGACTTATCTTATATTTGATAAGTGCGGCTTAGAAACAGGTGAGTCCTAAAACCCGAGATTTACGGTAATTGTTAGATTTGTATTTAATATTTAACTTATGAAACGTGATTGTAAAACACGACAGTACTTGGTGGATACACTATTGTTGGCAAGTCGAGTTTAAGTTCAAGAATCTTTATTATCCCTGAGTGGCAATTTGTTTCACAGTCATTAGGCACACAAAACATTCATACTTGACAAGACATTGAGACATTAAAAAACCAGTACAGAAACCATTAATGTTCGTTGAGAAGCCTGATCGCTACAGGGATGAATGAGTTTTTCAGTCTGTTCATCCTACATCTGGGCAGCAGATACCTGCGTCCAGATGGAAGCAACCTGAACTCATCATGGAGTGGGTGATCAGGATCTGCCAGAATCAGCCTGGCCTTGTTCACTGACCTCACCTTGTGTAGGTCAGTGAGGTTCTGTAGGGCTATGCCAGCAGTTTTGCCACACATCCTGACAATCCTTGAGAGTTTTGTTTTTTATTTGTTATAGTTGGTCATCAGGTTTGCACGTATCTCAGGAGGGGTTTGGGTCAAAATCTTTACAAAAGCTCCCTAAATCCTTTAGTCTAACAAGGTTGAGTCAGGTCCTCTGGATGGACTGTTCTTTGATGAAACTAGTTTGAGGCAATCCTGGCCAAAGTGGTTCAAAATGTCCTGATGCATGCTCAGTAATCCAGGTAGATACATCAAACAAGGTTGAGTCAGGTCCCTAAACCCTTTAGGTTTTTTGGCTGCTGCTTGGCAACTCGTACCTTGAGGTCCCATCAGAGATTTTTTTGAAGGACTGAGGTCAGAAAACTGCTTGCACACTTCATGTACTACTTTTTTAGCCACTCATTTGTTGCCTTGGTGGTATGTTTTTGGAACATTGTCATGCTGGAAGATCTATCCCTGACCTTGACAGAGGGTCAAGCTTGTGGAAAAGAACTTAAATTTAGTCTAATCTGACCATCTCACTTTCTTCCAAACATTAGCCTTCTTCAGCAAGAGGACCTTTTGGGTCTTGCAAGATTTATTCCAATGCAGTGTACTAAGTTTAACAAGCTCCTTCAGTGTAACCGTGGGCTGATCCCTCATCTGTCTCATCATTATCCTTGCACTTACGTGGAGCTTCAAACCAAGGATGATTGATAGCCCTTTTTATCCTCCATTTCTGAATAATTGCACAGTTGTCACCGTCTTACTAAGCTCTTGCTGATGTTCTTGTAGCACATTTCAGACTTGTACAGATCTATTATGACGTCCTTTGACAGTTCTTTGTTTTTTGTCATGGCAGTGGAAAGGATGGAATGGAAGAAACTAATTCTACGGACAGCTGGGCATTATACACACAAGATGAGATCAGGAGCAGACATTTCTACAATACTTAAACAGTTCTGATCGAGTTTCTCAATAGGCAGATGGCATATTCTCGCATTTTTCGAAGCAGCGTGCATTCAGTAAAAGTACGAAACCAAAGGGCAATTCTGTGTGCACATATTCAAGCCAGAACCTGTGTATGTGTGTATAGGTTTCCGTCCTGATGCGCTGAGTTTTTGGCAGTTGTGAGTGACAGTTTTGGAGCACTTACTGGAAGTCAGAATGACTTTTCCCTGCCTGGTTGTACAGTACCTGTCTATTTCTTACCGCACTTGATTATCTGCCACACTGCATG